TGGCTAACTGAATTACTAGCCTACCTAGTTACCTATCCATAACTAAATGACAGACTGATTACACGACCAATAGACTGTCCGACTTATGGATGAAAATGATGAATTGATTGAGTACTCGTTAACTGATTTAACCTAAAGACGGGCCACAGAGAGGTAATCCAGAAACTTTCCAGTCCGAAAAACGATGAGACTCATTTATTTCTGAATTTGTTATTAGGCAGCTGACAAGATTTCCGGTATAGTACTGAAATAGCAGAGAAAATATGAAAAAAATGAACTTATTTGTTACAGGATCATGTTTGTTTTCTTTAAAATGGAGAATATACTGCAGTTTCCCAGTTGTTGACCGGTATCATTCGGGGTCAGATCCTTGAAGATAAGGCTAGCAATAATGCTGCAAGGAAGCGAATTAAGGGATTTTTCATTCAGTCGATTGCAAGAGTAATCTATCATCTCAAGTCCACGATGAGCATGCTAATAACATTTTCGTTTGATGAAACCAGAAACAGACGGCAAAGCGCCGGAACAGGCAGCGTTAATAGCAAAGTATTCCGTAACAGGCATTCGACGCGAAGAATTAATTAGCAATTTTTACTCGCCGATCAAAGTTTACATAGCTTTTTAACTGATGCTACAAATACTAATCCTTGTATGATAAAATACATTACAAAGCGTCTTAATAAAAGCCAAGAGTTGAAAGTAGAAAATAAAATAATTCAGAAGAAAACTGATCGAGAAAAGAAAGTTGCATTCTACGTGTTTCTATAGACAGAGATAGATATTTCCCATAGAAAATGTGTCAGTACGAAGAACAACAAAATATTAAGATTCTTGGCTTGGTTTCTGTTCCTTTGTTGGAATTGCCCTAAATCTGACGAATTCTAACTTCGTATACTTGTTTCTGCCTTGTCTTTAAAATCAAATGAACCAATAGTTTAATGAACTGCGAGTCCCCTGTTCATCTCAGAGCCGTTGAAATAAAGTTTAAACGGCGATTTTCTTCCTAATGCGATAGTTTGAAGATCCAAAATTTTCTTGCACAACATAGAGCACCTTTCAACTTCTGAAGGCTGAGTCCAAATAGGTTGAAACGAGGTGGCAAAATCGTCAGGTTTTCGTCTAAAGGCAATCGTTTATATATCCATTCTCCTGCGGCTGTCCAGCTAGAAAACACTGCCCGATGAAATAAGCTTGCAAAAGTGCCAATGCTCCAATTAAACCAACTGCTACTGCAGCGAGAAAGATCGTCAATGTTCCGGTCATCACTTAACTTTGCTCTGTCCCACTCATACTAAGCGATATTGTTTTGTTTTCCAATGTTTATTTTCAAGGCTGGTTGTCATCTTCCTAGCCCTTTCATTCCGCGTCAATTCTGGTGTCAATTGTGCGTCGCACTCGACAAATCATCAATAATTGATTTCTGAAGTGGCTAAAAGCTTTCTTTACGGCTCACAAAGGACTCGACTCGATCGAGAATTTAGCGGCATAGAATTATTCAGCTTGCTGATTTTATTGTGGTGTCGATCCAACATGTATATCAACTCAGGTCGCATCGAGATAAATAAAACGAATTGACGAGTGCAGTTCTATTTCTATAACAATTTATCACTTCAAATTGCGACATGCATGTATAATGATGAAGGATTTTCGGGAATTCTAGTTTTCAGGATTTTCTGAAACGATACAAAGATGTCGATGGTTTCTTGAGAGAGAAAAAAAAGGCCCTAAGACTTAGGATAGACCTTATTTTAATTTCAATTGTTGCCAGAGAGAGAGAAAAAAAATTTTGTTGATTAACAGGTGGCAAAGGGTGTGTTCAGCGTAAAACTTTCAATAACTATCTAACATTCATGCAAGATAAATCTCATAACACTTGAAATTCCTTCAGAAATAACAAAAAATGAAAAAATGACCTTGCCAGTCGGACGGTTCTTTATCTCTAATTAATTCAATCGTTCTTACTTCCAAAAAGATAAAGAAATCTCTTTTTTGTGCAAGTAAATGTAATTCAATTTTTTAAAATTCGCAAGATGTAAATGCTGTGACAATTTTAATAAACAACATATTCGTGACATGGTGTTATCATTTTCTTCTTATTAAATGGTGTGCAGTACAAGTAAATAAGGAAAATCCAATTTTACAAACAGAATTTGGAAGCAAAAATTATGATTAATTCCGTATAATACAGCAGATAAATTACGTCTCTCCGACTTCAATTATGCAATATGTTTATTTTAAACAACCAGCACCTCTTCAAACTCTAAACATACCGTGCAATAATATTGTTACTGATAGAGGGGCTTATTTACATTAGATATTGCCCTTGGGTACGAACCAAGATTATGTAAAACACTTCAGTCCCGTTTCTAGAAAAAAACATGTTTCTTAAAGACGATTTTGGCAAATCACTCCAGTTTGGCTACAACCCATCTCTATGCTAAGTGTCTCTTGTGAAAAGTTCCCTTACTTAAAACCCAGCGAAATATACTCTATTTCTAAAACACACCATAGTAAAATTTATAATTGTTCAGTTTCGAGTTCCTGAGATTCAGAGGAAGCAACAGGTTCAGTTCCTTTTAGTTTCATGCAAACACAAGCACTCGACGTTTTTCTTCTCTAATACATCTTTTGCTCCGGATAAAATTTCACCAAGTAGTATCCTCCAGGAACACGGTATGTGGTCTCGCTGTTCCCGAGAGTACGGTCAGATCCAACGCAAAATTTCTTGTATAGATAGACCTGAAGTAACGTGAAGGCCGCCAAGGTTCCTACGAAAAATATCTCGCATAAAACCATGCTGTTGTCGTCAAATTACCTCTGCTAAATTCAGCCTTGCGCCAAAGTACGAGGTACTATCTTTCTCCCGTAAACTTTGTTGAAAACGTTCACTCAGTTGGAGTAATTATATAACTTTGATACTAGCCTCTGGTACTCACAAGTAAAGAGTTACATGTAGCTCAGTCCAGGGGTGGCTTCCACTAAATTTCACTCTTAGATGCCAATTTATGCGGAAACTGAGGTTCAAGTGCCAAGAGCAATGTGTACCTTAACAATAGACCACCAGAGAAAAGTTTAAATAGGGCAAAAGATTGTAATAAATTTTCATAAATTGGATGAACGGGCATTTAAAGGAAGCTCGAATGTTTTTATGACAGAATGAAGGTGTTATCATACAATGAGAAAGAAAAAGAAATTAATTCAATGAAAAAAGGATTGGAAAAGGGATGCTAGTAATAAGATAATTGAAATAGTATAGTTTGATCGATTGAAGTTATTTCCCTACCGACCCATCCCTTCAGTTTTTTGTTCTCCGCGCACTAATTGACAAGAATTTGCGGAGGATCGTAGAGAAAAATCAAGAGAGCGGTGTGGGGTGGGGATACCCGAAGACCGCTGTGTCAAGTCTTCAAGTCAGTAAGTCAGCAACTACGAAGCTAATTATCTTACCACCTACTCGTCCCTTCATTTTTCGCTCTCTGCGGACCACTTGATAAGAATTTATCGAATAGAGAAAAGTGAAATCAATAGGTTAGGGGTGGAGGTACTAGAAGGCCACTGATTCAAGTATTCACGTCAGTAACCCCGCAACCTACCCATCCCTTCAGTTCTTTTGATCTCCGCGCACCAATTGACAAGTATTTGTGAATGAGATGAAATCAAGAAAGTGGGGGGGGGGGGGGGGGGGGGGGGGGGGGGGGGGTGTGTGTGGAGGTACCAGAAGACTGCTGAGTCAAGTATTCAAGTCAGTAAGTCAGCAACTACGAAGCTAATTATCTCACCACCTACACATCCCTTCAATTCTTTTACTCTCCGCGCGCTAATTGACAAGAATTTGTGGGTTAGAGAAAAGTGAAATCAAGGTTGGGGGGACCACTGAGTCAGGTATTCACTTAAGTAAGTCAGTGATGATGCAGATGCTGTTATTTCCCCACCTTCCCGTCCCTTGGTATTTTTACTATCAACAAACCATTTGACAAAGATTTGGGGAGTGGAAAAAGAAAAATCAAGAGGGTGGGGGATAAGTTAAGTGTGTGCTTGAGTAATTCCATAAATGCAGTCATCCCTCCACCTACCCATCCCTTCAGTTTTTCTGCAGTTGGTGCATCAATTGAAAAAACTTTGTAGATTAAAAAGTGAAATACAAAAGGGGTGGGACACATAAGGTATTTACGCGAGTAATTCTGTAAATGCAAATATTACTCTACCTACCCATCCCTTCAGTTTTTCTGCTGTCAGTGCACTAATTGACAAAAATTTGTGAAGGACAAAAAGTGAAATAAAAAGCCCGGTTGGGATTGAAGAAATGTAAAATGGTTTCCGTGTTTACATAGCCTGATGTAAACACGCGGGAGGTTGGGAGAACACGAGATCAGCGTAGGAAACCACGACGCGAAGCCGAGTTTCGGTTAACGCAAACCGTGTTTACATACGCTCATGTAAAATGGTTTTATGGCCAATCAGAACTCGCATACTATTTGAATTATTTTATAAAAATACTATAACTGCTAAGTCGAGTATTCACAGTATAAAAATATGCAACAAAATTCAAATCACATGATTACTGTGGTTCACCTTTATTTACATTCTATAGGAATGAAACCACCGACTTGCAAAATTACTATTGGACAGTAACTGTTATAAAGACATAACAAATACTTTTAATTAAAACACTTCTGGCAACATCAAGAGCTCAAGCTATCTTGAATTACCAACCAGAGGAACACAATCAAAACTTATTTTCTTATTATTTCTGTTGTACAAAAAGAGTTCCAAGGAGCTTACATGTTTAAGTAAATTTGTAAGATCCTTTGATATGCAACTGCTATCAACTTAAAAAAAAACCAAAAAACACCAAGTTTGTGCAAGACTTACTGACAGTGGAGACAAATAAATGAACTAGAAAGATAAATTAAGCGGGATTTTCATTCCCCCCCTTTTTTTTTCCATCTTGCTTGCCACTGTTTTTCATCAATTTCCACAAACTGATTGGCAGGGAAGAGAAAACATTATGTAAACAATTATGAAAACAAAGATCTTCAAGTGTATCAACACATGACACTAGCACTTGAGATATGGTAACTGCTGCACTAAAAATCTTGCTCTTTTCTAACCAGTTTTACTTTTAATAGTAACAATCAAATGAAAGAAATCTATCATTACAAGATTTCTCTCCCTTTTTTTTTTTTAATTTTTTAAAATTTTTAATCTGTAGCTAACTTAAAACTAATGCCCAACATATCCACTCTATATACTTTGTAGATGCTTTGAGGCCTCCATGGAATGTGGTGCAAGTTTCTTACAAGTCAGGAATACTGTGGTCCATGGTTTTCTTCATCAGTCCTTCGCCCATACTGTGGAAATGAAAATAAATGATTTGTACGTGTTACTATCTTGTCCATGCAGTGGAGCCTGTGGAACACTTATTTTGATCCTTTTACTCCCACAATCTCAATAGTAATTCAATAGTAATTCTCCATACTGTCTGCCATACATTGCTTATAATTTCAGTTTGGAGAATTTGGTATTGAGTTAAATGATAATCTCTAATTGATATTTTTCTATACTCTCATTGCTTGTCTACTTGAGATTGTATTGATATTGTAAGGAGAAACTCTGTTTTGGTCTTTACTGGGGGTGAAAGGGTTAAATTTCATCATACAAAGATCAACATTGCATTGGGCAATTTCACTGGAGCACAGGAAAAACACCACCCAAGGATTTCAATTGCTCAACCAAAAGGAGAGCAAATTGAAAAACTTCTAATAACAACATGACTGAGAGTATATTTTGTCAAGGAAAATCAGATGTAGGGGAAGGGGGAAGCCAAAATAAGCAACAACTGAAAGGCTCTCATTCAAGAATAAATGTTAGAACAATGTTAAGTTTCACGAGGATCACATGCAACATCTGTTGATTGCAAATGTAACAAACACTCTCCAGCCTCAAACAATCGTTTTCATTGCACATTCTTTGTTGTTTTGGAAATACAGCACATGCAGCATTCAAAACTATTGATGTGGGCCTTTACATATTGTTCATTGGATTTACAGCAATAATCTTTTTCTCAAGGCTTGTGTGCTTGTGTCTGTGGAACATTTATTTTAAGAATTGCACTGCAAAAGTCAGATTGTGCAAAAATAAAATCTTACCATTTCACCATATGCTCAAAAATGAAAGTTGGTATGATTGTCAGTGTGATAGTCTGGCCTGCCTTCTCAAGGATTGCTTTGATGTCACTATCCTGTAAAATAAAGAAAAGAGAATAATTGTAACTTACAATTTTAGGGATGTGCACTACCACGGAATCATTCAACACATAATGGGCATTTTGTGAAACTTGTTGTAGTTGTTAGCTATATGCATAGCAAGTGTTGTACCAGGTCTAACTAACACTTTTTTTCAAAGCTTGACAACAATAAAAGTGCAGATGATTCAAACAAATTCATGCTTTTATTGTACATTGTAGATAGAAATGAGGTTATTTATTTCCATTTTTTAAATGTCTACCCAAAGTATATCCTTGTCTTTGGTTGGTCATACATGCATGTTAAAATTTCCAACTAAGCAAAAACTAAGCAAAAACTTTTTTTAAAAATGAGATGAAAGTGTTAGAAACAATATTTGAGTTTCTTGCAAAGTTACTACAGTTCAGACAAAGGAACAAGCATTACTCTGAAAAAATTTGAAATTGCTCCTGCCAGATTTCAGTCCCTGCTAGGGTAGATATCTCAACAAAAGCACCAACAGTCTATCTGCATTAAACTACTGCAGTCGCAATGCCACTACCCTTGTGCCCTCACTTTTAGCAGAGGAAAGCATCTTTAGAAGACAAACTTTTCCTACCTTAAGTCCAACCACATTTTGTCCATTTACTTCAACAAGGTTATGTTCTGTCAACAGTCCATTCCTAAATAACAACATGCAGGGTTTCTATTAAGAAATGCAGCAGCAAAGAATAGTACAAATACATGAAAATATTCTCAACTTCTAAATGAAAGAAGGTCTTGCATCCCAATACAAATTGCCAGTAACCAAACGTTTTCTCCAGAATATGATCAGTTCAAAGAATAACCCTTAATACATTTTGAGCATATTTTTTTGTTGTGAATAGTTATAGACAAGACTCTGTTTTCAAAAATACACCTTTTTCCTAAAACTGAAATATTTTAAATGTCCTTGTGATAAAAGACCAAAGCATGAAGAAATTTGTGAAAGTCAATATTTGAGAATGAAAGACTACTGCAGTACATGAAAGTAGCAAACTACTGCTCCATAATTTTAATTTCACGTTGTTTACCTTGCTGCAGATGTATCCTTGGCAATCTGAGTGATTTTACCATTTTTAAACACAAATCCAACATGGCCACTACTATCCTTCTGCATAACAATTGTTCGCTCAAATGGCCTGAGGAAAAATGACATCAAGCAATTTTATTACATTGTTTTTTTCTATTTCACATGAGGGTAAAGAAGAGTGCGAAATGGAGGCTTTAAAATCATAGGGAACTTCTCACCTGTCTCTAAGAGCAAACACAATTCTCTGTGCAGATGCATTCTTCAAAATCTTCATCACCTTGTCACCACTATAGCCTGCCAAAGTTTCACCATCGATCTGCAAAATCTGATCGCCAAATCTTAACCCTCCCAAGGAAGCAGGAGAGTTTGCATGTACATACTGTACAAACACACCCTTGTTGATAGCCCGTACACGTAAGCCAACCTTTCCACTTCCATCCTTGCAGAGAATCACCTCACGGATGCCTTGCTTGATTTCTGCACGCCGGATGCCCATATTGTTGTCTCCACTTACTGGGGCAACCATCCCACTGGTCTGTGGAATAGCAACAGCTGCTTGTGGTCTAGGAACTAGTGGACCAGCTGTGCTCTGTATATAAAAACAAAACAAAATTAATGCTGCAATAACTCCCCTTTCAACTTTTACTATAAGAGACTATGGGTAACTCCTCTTTACTTGCTACACAAATCTACACAAATGTAATCTTGTCTCTTCTCTTTGTGTCAGTAGTAATTTTATGGTGGAGGGGAGCATCTTATCATGAGTCCAGCTTTAAGTGGGGTCACTATTTTACTGTGGTCAAGTAATTTGGTGTACTCATATTCTCCATACTAATCTCTCTACATTTCTCAAGGTAATAACAGGGAGAATTTGTTGGACAATCAGGATCTTCTAAAATTGGTAATCATTTCCTTTATTCTTATCATCTTTGTACTTGACTCAAGTGTGATAATGTAAAGAGGAATTAGAAGCCAGTCACTTTAAGGGGTTTAAGGCCACATCAGCTTAACTCCTGAAGTCCTGACAGGGTTACCCATCACAAAAATGTTGAAAGACAGAGATTAAAAAATGGGTGAAACCTTTGCCTTCTAAAAATGGGTCAGGAGGTGGGCTTCTCCTCCAAACCCTGAGCTAGCTGTAATTGAAACCTTTGTCAACCAGCATACAGTATGATTTCACTCTACTTACATATCCTGGCACATGTTGCCTGACAGCATCCTCAGAAACAGCAAGACCCATGTAGTCATTAAGAGAGGGATAGAGACTACTGGTTGGGGCAACTGGCCTAGCCCCTGGGACAGAAGCAGGAACCTGTAAATTGAAAAAAAAACACCTAAGAACAGTGGTATTTATGAACTGTTATAATTTTAATTATAAATAACTAAGGGGTTCTTTCTTGTGGTAATTTCCATGTATTTTGTCCTACCCCCCTCCTACCCTCAAAAAGTAATCAATTGCTCATAGAGAGCTTGAGAAATCAGGAAGAAAATGTAAAGGTGTTTATTTTCTCACAATGATGTCACTGAATCAAGTATCGAGTGTCGCGACCTCAATGTAGAATAGCTTCAAAATACCAACAAGTATGGCTGAGTTTTTACACCTATATAATTTAATAAGCACTTTAAATATACTAATGGGTGAAAAATTTTGTGGATGATGTCAAGAAAATCGGTTATCACTTACTTGGTAACCAAGTGCAGGTTGTTGTGGGCGAGCTTGCTGAGCCTGATGCGAGAACAAGACGGAAAAAAAAAGATTACATGATTTCTTAGGTATATTACTTGCCTGATCGTTCATTCAAAGCTAGCACGAGAAAATACATCAGATCTCCTGAAATACTGGAGCTGACTACCCAGCAGTCTTTTACGTGACAAATTATTTTGCAATGAGCTAGGGAAGAAACCTTCTGAAGTCGAAATTCAGAAAGGAAAACTGATTCTAAAAGTTACAAAGCAATTGCCAGTTTTGATAGGATTGATGGACTGTTGAAGTAGCATAACATCTAAAAAGGCTGAGGTTTATCGTTCATTCGTATAAATGTCAAAATGAAGCTTCCACACGTCAAGGAAACCAACGACTGTCGATCAACGACTGTCGATAGCTTTAAAATGCCTTCGAGAGCCTTGCAAATTTCAGAAATCATACCAGTACAATTTTGTCAGGAATTTACGTCTAAAACTAAAAATTACCTGTGCTTGAGCCATCTGATCAACCTTCATATCTTCTAGAGACGGATACAGAGACATCTTGAAAGATTCTTATTTGAAATAGGGAATTTACGATGATAATAGAACGTTCGCTTCACGATCCAGCTGAAATGTGGCGACTTTCGGACTAAGCTACATATAAGACGGGCCAAGGCTATGTTTGGAACCGTGACGTCATCCTAAATCACATGACATTTACGTTCGTATTTCTCAATAAGGCATTTTTCGCTACGTCACTAATTATCGACTTCTTTCGTCATCTCCGAAGATGTTTCGACTCGATAGCGTCATTTGGCGGGAAAAGGAAGCCATTTTTGATTTGATGTGCGATGTGAACTAACATGGCCGTCGCAATCGGAAATGGAAGATATTACAAACTTTTTCGTGGCAATTCCGCGCCAAAACGCTTGCTCATTGGAGAACTGAACGAGCCAGGATTGCTGTCAAGTTCATTTATCCAAGGTTTGTGCAAGTTTTCGATGTCGAGTTTTATTATCATATGTTAATTTGTTACTTTTTCTTCCTCGATGGGTTTTCTTTGAAAACGACCGTCTTTAAACTTAAAGGAAACAACTATTATCAGTGCAGTAGCCTTTGGAAAACAGTACACTACAATCATATCCCATGAAATGCATATCGCGCAACTGCAATTTTCGAGATTCTCTTTATGAAAAATACCAACTCGAAATTAAAAGGCAAAACAATTTGAATACGGAAGCGATCCTCGTAGTTATTAACACTACTTACGTGGTAAAAAATTCAGGTCCGTACGGGATTTGAACCCATGACCTCTACGATACTGGTACAGCGCTTTACCAACTGAGCTAGCAAGCCGGATAGGAAGTGGGAGAAACATGAGACGTAGTCGAGTGTTTCTCCCTACACTTCTTTCGTGCACCAGCTGCTTCCTGCGTGCTTTACAACCGTCGAGAACAAAGTCAAGATTTCTCTATTTGATAAATAGGTTCCTTGTTGCTACGTGTCTGTTCAGTTATAAGTCAAAGACGCCATCAAAATTTGGTAAGAACAAAAAAGTGGCACATAAGCACACTGAGCTGAGTGTGTCACTGATGATCTTATCATTTGTAATTTATTTCTATCCTGACTCGTGGAAATATGGAATTTATTTCGTGTATACTAAATAAAAAAAATTAATGTTTTTAATGGAAACATCTTCTATGTAGCTGTCTTCCCATAGATCATTAACCTTTTAACTCCCATGAGTTACCAAGACAGAATTTCTCCTTACAATATCAATACAATATCAACCAGAAAAGTGATGAGAATAAAGAAAGTATCTACTTGTGGATAATTGATTGATCCATTACTAAATTCTCTGAACTAAAGTTATGAGAATTGTATGGTTGACACAAAGAGAGTTACAAATTTGATCTGGAAGTTAAAAGGTTAATAAGAACCTATCAAAATGTGTGTATACTATGTAATTCAGCTTGTCATACGATCATTTCTTTTTCTTGCAGGAATTGTAGGACAAGTTTTCCCTATAAAAAATTCAGAGAGGTATGGCAAGCTGTGTAAGATTGTTTTGCGGGAAGATTTGGAAAAGCGAACTCTAAGGTCAACTTGTGCCACAATTAATGCTTTCCTGTTAGGAGATCTGGCTGATGAAGGTGATAGAATTAAAGAGGGTGATCGCGTGGTCTTGTCAGAGGTTGTTGTAGAATGTTCTCCCACCGATGAACACCTATATCAGCTCATTGCCTGGCGAGAAAAATCTCAGGCATCAATTTGGGTGATAAATAACAAGGGAAATGTGAGAGTTAATAATGCAAGTGGTAATGAAAAAACTCAAGTGAACAATGCAGAAGATGGAAAAAATCTTACATGTAGTGCTGACACTGATGAAGAAGAAACTGTTGTGCAGGAAACATCAGAGCCAGGGTTTTACATTGTAAAGAAGACATCCACTGGTGAAGAGGGTAGAAGGAGAAGCAAACCAAAGATATTTGAAAAGAGGAAAGGGAAATTTCATCTTGGTCCCAAGGGAGTCACACCTTCAAAATCGCATGTAATGAGGAAAGTTAGTGATGCTGTCGTTGTAATAGACAAATCTGAAGTGACAAAACGTTTA